TGATTCTGCTACTATTGAGAAGGTAATAATTAACGAAAAAACAAAAGGAATTAGTAGAGTTAGAATTATCTCAAACTCACAGTCGTCACACATGCCAAAACATACATATATACATGCAGTATATATTACTATTTCTAGTTGTGTGGTGTTTTAATTTTAAATATCATAATTATATATATATTCTATATTATGATGATAGTTAGAAAACTAAAATTAACAAATAAAGTGGAAGTTTGATGTTGTCTTTATATATAATTTTTTGGTCATTTATATAAATTATATGTTTTTCTTCTATCATCTTTCAAATGATTTTGTGTATTAAAATTAAATTAAATGCTTTCCTCATCAATATCCACTTAATTGTTTAGATTGAGTTAAGTTGACGCCAAGAATTTGAATTCAATTGACTTTCTTATCTTTGAATTGAAATTATCTATATAAAATATATTTTTTAAAGTTGTCAATTGAAAAAAAAAACATCTCCCAAGCTAAGGTTAACGGTGATTGCTCTTATAATTGACCTCGAAAGGAATGAAAGGGGGAAAAAAAGGTTTCTTTGATCACTAATTAAAGAATGAAAGAAATTTTATAATCAATATGCAGGACACTTTAATTTCTAGGTGACCAGAACATAATGAATTTTTAAAATAAATATAAATATAAATATTTTCCAAAGTTAATGATTATAAAGAAATAGAAGTAGTAACTTATACTATAAACTATCTTGCTAAAGAAGAAAGTGACTCTTGATCATAAAGCTTTTTCTTTTTTTCCCCCTTCAGAGATGGTCCAATATATCTAAAAAAACTAAAAACTGAAGCAAGTTTTAAAATTCTAAGACTACGAGAGATTTTTCTTATTCTCTGCTAGGCTCTAGCACTCTCTCTCGTCTAACTTTTTTCTTCTTATTATTATGATATTTACTTTTATTTCATTAGCAAAGTATATATACATTATATACTATAGCATAGCTTGGCCTCTCTATAATGGCCACTCGATATAAAGAGCAAAAGCATGTGTGAAAGCATCTGCAACAATATTATATATCTATCTTTCTACTTTGTTAGTACCACCAAAAAAAGGCATCTAGCTTATATGAATAAGATATTTTTATCCAATCAAATTAAAACATGTGGATTTTAATAAAATATTAATACTAATAATATTAATTATAATAAAAATTCACACACGTCTTGATTTGATTAGAAATAATCAAATAAGCACATTAAATGAGTATATAACTTTCTTCACACACACTTAAATATATGACAGGCGCAATATTTGTAAGTACTATAAGTACTCCATTTGCATTGGTTCTATCCTGTATTAGATATAAATAATTAATTATATAACTAAAAAATGGTTTAAATTGTTTAAAGGTAATAAATGTAAAAAAATAATTTTATTTTTTAAAAATATTCTTATTTATGAAGAGAGTGGGAGAGAGAAATGAATAAAAAATATGAAAGAGATATATATCAATACAGTGATATAACATGCAATGAGAGAGAAAAAAATTATTTAAATTCAGGCACATATATATATTATAAATAAGATTATACGAATCAGTAAAGTTATGTTATGTGCAAATACAGCACTAGAGGGAGTAAGAGTGAGTGTAATGAATCTGGATGCATTTTATTAGTTAGTTTCTCTTATATAGCAAATTAATGAAAAATCTGAGAGGGTTTTTGTAGGGGGGCCACCCTCTGACCTCCACTTCCATCACATATTCGAACGACATTATTAAAAAAAAACAATTTAAAGTGAGATTCCAATCCATTTATTTAGTATTTTCTCAACTTCCATTATTCCTTCAAATCAAATCTTCTCTCTTGTTTCCTTTCATTAATCAAAATCAAAAGCATACAATATATCATCATCAAGTGCCATGGACAAATCTAATCAATTCATCAAAGACTAGTAACAAAAAAATCAAACCTTCTTTATCTTCTTCTTCTAAATATAAAACAACAATTCTCCCTTGATTATTAATCTCTTCCTATAATTAATCCCCTAATTAAGCATGATTCTCCAACTATAATGACAAGTTAAGAAGTATAATTAATGGTCCCAATGTTGCATCATTCTGCATGCAGATGGCTCAACAAAGGCCTCTCTTTTGGAGGGTCATTTCCTTTTCTTTCTCTTTCAACACATTTTCCAACACTCTCCTTTCCTTTCTTTCTTTTCTTTTCCTTTCCTCTCCTTTCCCTTCCGTTCTTCTCTTCCATGAGCACAATCAACAACTTGACAAATTTGTGTGGCCTCTGTGTCCTTCTTTAGTGTTCCTCCTCGCTATCATTTCATCATTTCCAATCTGACCTGATGATAAGATTCTTTCTAGAATCGTAGATGATTCAATCTAAGACAAAATAGCTTCAAGTTAATAACATAAATAAATACAAATGTGTTAATTAAATCAAAGATCATAAGATTCTTTGTTTAGAATATATCTACCTACCTATCAATTAGGTAATAAAAATTTCGTAGGAATTAACTATCTGAAAGTGGCTCCAAAAGTTGGCATCCAAAAATCAACAGTGGTTTCATGAGTTACTGGAAAAGTGCTTGAAACCGGCACCAAACACAGCCCTCGGCTTCTCAGGTCTTGTTTTAGGGCTTCCCCGTCCTTACATTTCCCAGAACTCTGCAATTTTCATCATTATATATGTTATGTTAATTTCATAATAATTCTATTATATTAGACACACACACACACATGGAGGAACGTCTATGTGAAGTACCTGTTGGTGCTGCGGAGCTCCACTTTTCATATATGGGGTGCTTAAAACCTATAACCGACAATAAAACAAAAGGAGATGAATATATATTTATATATATGCGTGGGTGTGTAAGTCCAAGTTTTCTATATATTAATTTTAGCTTTTGATGATATATATATATATATATATATATGCATATATATGGTTATGGGACTTACAGAGACTTGTTCATGGAGGAATTTGATGTACTCGATGGCTTCAGACAGCACTGAGGCTGTATCAGTCTGACAAAAATTATAACCACACGTTAATAAAGAATTGAATTAATCCATAATTAATTAATGAAGTACTATGATTGTCATTAATTAGAGTAAGGTTATAATAAAATGATCAACGGGAGATTATTATTTAAACTTTTTTATAGGACTAGTATTTTAGTTCTCTTGCTATTAGAAGTTAGAACACTTTGAAGTCTCCATAATTTCAAACCTTGCATTTGTATGATATAGATGAAAAATATATCTGATGAAGACTCAAAACGAAAATATCATAAAAGTTTGAGAGAGATATTATAAGGTTTTAATTAACATTATTGTATATAGAAGTAAAAATTTTCAACATATTTTTGTGGCCAATAATATATAATCTTCATCAAGTTTGAATGTAACTTTCAGATAATCTATATAAATCTCAAAGTGGTCCAATGATAAAGTATTATAAAGCGTATAAAACCCAACCTCTATCTTTTTCATAGCATATTAATATCATATCCTTTTAATTTTTATTTTAGCCAACCAGATCCTTTTAATTTAATCATCTAATTAATGGTATATATATAAATTTAGAAGCTGGAATTAATTAAATTAAATTACCTTCCCAAAAGGCGAAACCAACTGCTGAAGAGCAGTAATCCGGTCCCCCATCTTCTCTTTTCTCACCTGACAACATTCGAAGTTATTTCTTGTTTATATATCGACTCCAACAACAAAAAAACGAAATGTAATTCCAGAAAGTTTAAAGCACTTGAATTTTAAAAAGTTTCGTCGCCCTTAATTATGATTGGTATTAATAATAATAATAATTATTAAATACCTTAAAAGGTGGCAAAGTCGATGAGGTTTCGTTTCTCGCCCTTTTTGGTGCTGCTTCTCCACCACTTTTCTTCCCCACACTATTCGTTTCTCTTCCTCCACAAATATTCTGCAATACCATTATTTTAAAATAAGTAAATCAGACTCTTTTTCTTTCTCACAATTTTTTTAAAGATGCATATCTCCAAAATTAACTGAGAGTAAAAGAGCTAGTTTATTCTACTTAACATAAGTAATACCATGAAATAAAAATAAACTGACTTTTATTATGAGAGAATGATGAAAATATTTTTAAAAAAATTGTTAGACTGATAATTTTATAGACATGACAGACATTATATGTCAAAGGAAAAATCTTCACAGCTAACTAGGTCTAACAGAATTTCAGTTTGAGGTTGACAAAAAAGGCTTGTGTGTGACGTTCTGTTTTTATATTTTTATTTTTTTGGTTTTATTGCCATTTCCAACTGAAATAATAACCCCTTTTGATCAGTTCAAAATCCAAGAAGATTACTGCGCATCAACCCTAAGCCTTAACGAATATCATCAATGTTGTGTAACATTAATGCATATATTTATGTGTATGCACATAATATCTCTAAATATCAGGATTTTTTTTTTAAAGCCATGAAAAATAAAAATTCTAGATTCACCAACCATGTGAGGTGATGGTGAGATAATTGAGATTACGCCCTTACCTTCACATCATATAAAAAAAAAAATTAAACTTTTAAGTAAGAAAACCCCTCCTTAATTAAGAAGGCGAAAACAAAAAGTATTGTACCTTTGATTGTGCATCAAAATTCGGCGAGTGAAAAGGAGGCTGCAGGGAAGGGAAGAAGGAAGCTCGAGGTTCTTTAATGGCGGCTTGATGATGATGATGAGGAGGAGCTTCAGAAGCGTTCCAGAAGGTTGTGTTGTTCGTAAACTGCAACTGGCTATTACCACCACAACCACCACCGTGATGTTGGGTTTGTTTCGGCGGCGAAGCCCTAAGAAACTGAGAAACCTTAGGCCAATTAGAAGCCATTAGCTGATCATTATTGTTAGATCCATAGGGAAAGTTATTGAAGCAGGCACGATTATGGTTATTGTCGAAGGAGGAAGAAGAAGAAGAAGCTTCAGGAGCTAATATTCCCTGTAATATTGAAGGATTTGCAGCAGAATAAGAATTAGAATCCATGTGGAAACTACAAGCTAAGCCTTGGCTGGTCGTCACTATGCTATCCCCGGAAGTAGTACTGTACTGCTCAGTCGTAGTTGAAGATGAATCTGTTGAAAACAATAGTTTCTCTCTCCACTCAACTTGTTGATGATGAGATAAACCCATCCCACTTTCTTGAGAACCCAGATTCTCTTGAAGCATGGGTCTGAATCGGCCATCGGAGACCCCCTTATTCTCTGCTCTTCTGCAGAATGAAATTAAAAGTCAGAAACTTTAACCTAGCATGACACAGCTGGTAGTATCTAATAGATTGAAAGATGAAGATGATGAACTTACAGGAGATTATTATGGAGGGTTGATTGTTCCAATCCATGGGGTTTGAGGAGAGGCCTAAGCCCATGATCATGGGAGAATCAGAGATGGAAGAGCCAGGCTTGAGGTCATGATGATGATCCATATTGTTCCAAGTGAAGTTGGGAACGAAGGAGGTGGTGAGGTTTGAGGAAGAAGATTGGGATTCGAATCTCACATTTCTTGAACAGGAGTCCCACCAATTTCCAGTAGCCTGAAATTGATCATCCGCCATGGAAGGGAACAAGAAGCAAGCTAATTAAGCTATATATCAGAGTCTGTGAGAATATATACAGAGCTGATGATGGAGAGTGTTGGAAATGAATGGAAAGTAGTTGTGTGTGTGTCTGTATATATATATAGAGGGGAGAGGGGAAGAGAGGAAAGAGAGAGTAACCGACTAAGAAGAATGTGGCTGACACTTTGACAATTCGGAGGGTTATCATATTACTGATTAGACCCCACACACTCCCACAACAATTAGGTCATTTTGTAATCAACTCTTCGCCCCCCCCAAGCCCCCTCTTTGGACTGTAATATTCTCTTCTGTATCAGTAGTTACTGTTCTTTTTTTCCCTAATATATTACCTCCCGTCTTAATTATAAGACCTTATTGACCAGAGATAGTATATATATAAACAAAATTAATTTAAAGTTGTACTCTTTTTTTACATAATTATCTAATTCCGCATGACGCTAGGCAAGATTCAACTATTATGTAATTCAATTGGCGTATTTTTCCCAACGATTGAGGCTCTTTCCTTTTCTTTTTTAATGAAAAAGAGACACTAATGATTTGGTGATTACAAGCAAAGTTGAACTTGCAACCTTCTACTTATTAAAAAGAAAAATTATATATATTACTAGACTAGATACAATGTCGCTAACAAAAGTAGAACTAGGTCAAGTGAATTGAACTAAGTTGAAACTAAATAAATGTGAAACATTTACATAAGGTGAAGTCAACGAATTAAGTTGAAACTCAATAAAATATTACATGAATCATTAGCCACAAGTATTAGGGGGAAAAAGTTAAAACAATCTAGTCAATTAATTGTAGATATATTTAGCCAAAAATTTGCGGCATATTTTTCTATCATGTAAGTTTTTAAAATATAATGATTAAACTTGTAGTCAACTATTTTGTCTTAGATGATATTGCTCGCATGTTAAATAAAGATAGTTAACATAGTTAATTAGTAACTAATCTAGCTAATTATGACTAAAATGATACGGTATTATTAGTACTAGTAGTGCGAATTAGGCATATGATGACAAGACATCAAATTAAATCATGTCACTTATCTTAACTAAGCACAATGTGAAAATGAAGGAGAAGTTGGAGATCGATATATGCTCTTGTCAATAATTAATTAATTAATTAAATCATATCTCATACCAAATGGGCCTTTATTTTATTTTTTTACTTTGAATATGATAATGTTTTATGCATCACAATAATGAACCATTGAATATGAAATTTCTTATCTTAGAATGATGAGTATAGTTTACAAAATGCCCAACACGACATGAATTTTAAAAAAAAAGGTTTTATCTTAATAATCAAAATTAGAGCCAGTAAATTAAAATTAATATTAATCTACACACACAAATTAAGGTAAACCGACTTTATCAATTAATTATGCCAACTAATATGTGATTTATCCAGAAGTGCATGTCTTATTTATATACCGAGTTTAATTAATTAATTGCGTGTTCTATATATAGTTGAGATCTATAGGTCAAGAACAAATCAATGTTTTGACATTATCGTTACATACACACATATTAATAGTCAATGGAATTTGGAAGTCAGATACGCAATTTTCTTATGTCATTCTCAAAGGTTGCATTTCACATCATCAACAACATTGATTTTAACATTTAATTCTACAAGTTTTTTTTTTTTTTGCTTCTTGATTGAATTTTCTCTTGTAAGTATTATAGTTTTATTTACAAGAGAAAATTCAATCAAGAAAAAAAAAAGTAAGTTAAGAGAAAGTAATAAATTGATGGTTGACTTTGATGTGTCGGCCAACGATCACATTCTATATATATTTTATTTAACACTAACTAAAATTTCAATAAGAATATAAATTTGATTGATATATGTGTCTGTGTATATATTGAAAATTATATTCATCTATTAAGAAAATTTGATTTCAAATTTTACATATATTTTGCAATTATTCAGATGAATAATCACAAGTTGGAAAATAAAAATTCAACATTACATGTTAAAATATAATCTAACACTAAAGGAATTCTAGACCGAGACGATTTATCAAAAGGTTAAATGATTGCCCGTGAAAATCTGGTTGACAAAAAGATTTGGGTCAAGTATAAGATCAATTTGACACTTACAAACCCTGTTGACTTGTAGTGGTTCAAGCTAGGAAATTAATTAAGAATTACACAGAACAATTTTTTAAAAGAAAAATACGTTTTCCAGAGTTTTTGTTACATAACCATTAAATTAAAATATTATCCAAAAATACAGCACTTAAATGGATCTTTTACAAATACTGTCTAAGGTTAAACATCATTAGAATATTAGATCATGAAAGAAAAAATTTATAAAAAAATAAAAATTGATTTAACAAGTTTATTCGTGTAATGGAACTCAGATTAATTCATCGTGATCTTTGTGCGGAATACCAAAGGTGAAATAATTTTAATTAAGTATATATTTAAAATAATAATAAAACTTTGTATATGATTTGTGTAACATTAAAATATTTTTAAAAATTATTTTAAAATATTAAATTAAACTGATGAGGCAATATATACAATTATAATTCTTTTGACTAATTTGTTCATAATGATATAAAAATTCTTATTTAGTCTTACATGCCATGACATATCGTTATTACCTCCACAAACTTAAATGCTACTTCCAATTCTTAATATAAAAGCTAGTTTGACTTTCAACTTAATCTTAAATATAAAAATTTAATCTAGTTTATCTTTCATATTTATCTATTTTTTTTAAAGTAGTCCTTATAACAATTACACATGTTAAATGCTTCATAAGCTAATATACATAATTAGCAATGATATTTTAGGAAACAACACATATTTATTACAAATAACTAACTTAACTAATTTTCTTAATATACTTAAATTAATCAACTATCTCTTATATTAAAGACCGGAGGTAGTCCTTTAGTGTCCGCTTTTAATTTTTTTAATTTCGTTTAAAGAGCAGTCATATTCTCTAGCATATTCTAACCACCCTTACAACCGGTTCATGCTTATCAACTTTATTAATCAGCTTCATTTTAGCCAACAAAGATTTGCTTTTAAGAGATAAGAATGTGTATATATATTCTTTATGTTGTCTAATTCTAATTTAAATATGCATTGAGGTTGTGATATATCTATATATATGAGAAAAATTAATCCTAGCCGACATATTAATGTATGCATTAATTAGCTCAAAACATCTTCATTATAAAGTAAAATATTGGCCTATCTATAAACATTCGAACACCATATCATAGTCATTTCTCATATATTGAAAAGGCTTTTCCAATTAATAATTTAATATGCTTTGATTTGTTGTGATTTTCTAAAAGTATGTAATTTTACGTTTAAAAAATAGAAACACCATAAGATTCAGCCTTTTTTGTGTGGCATTTTATCAATTTTATTTGTGGTTTCATTCACAATTCTGATATATATTGCAAACCTTGAGTAATCCATGGGATTCAATTTAAAATTCATTTAACATTTACTTCTTGATTCCAAACCATCATTTAATTTTTCTTTAATATGATCAATTTAATAAACCCACTCACGTGCTCACATACAGAGATGCAAGTAGTTAGTCGTCGACGCTAAACTATCATCTAATAATTTTTTTTGGGGCATAACATCATTAACAATAATTTTTTTTAATCTCAATTCATCAATTAAGACTCATTAAGCATGTGTTTGGATCCTAAAACCACTTTTTGGGTTGGGTGGCGTTATGCAAATCTCTCAGTTGATGTTTATCGAATGCAACAATTAGTCTTGCGCTTGGATGGGCTATGCTACAACAAATTTCAATGATTTTGATGAGGGCCATTATGATTGGAGTGATACTATGGCATAAGTGCTCACATATGAGGCTTCCAACATAAAGTTTGTTATCTGCCCATTTCGTTCAAACTTATAGAGTGTTTCGGTAAAAACCAAACTATGGTTTTAAAAATAATTTTACAGTATATGAAATAAGTATGTGAGAAGAGTATTATCTCAATTTATGTAAAGTGTTTTTTTTTAACCCAAACGCCCCCTTAATCTAAGTAGATACTCGTTCTTGTCTTTCAAAAGTGAAATTAGTGTTTTTACTCGTTCATGTCTTGTTGAGGGATTAAAATTGTGCTTATGGCTTCACATGGTTTTCATCTTGCCATTGGTTTTTGTAGGCTGTTACATTTAGGCTCTGTTTGGGTGCTCCAAAACCGTGGTTTCAGAAGCACTTTTCCGCAAAACAAGGTAACCTCCTCCACATATTTACTTCGTAATCCGTAAAAACACTTCTGAAACCATGTTTGGTTTTTATCCAAACACTCCCTTAGTCTTTGGGTTATTAGTCCGAGTGACTATAGTAGCTGAGTCTCAAGTTTGCAGATTCAATATATGTACTTTATTTTCAGTTGGTGTCCGGTATGTGAAGTTGTATTATGTGTTCTCTATGTATGTGGCCATTTTATGTTAAACCAATATTTTGTTACTATATTTGATATTTTTTGGGGGGAAAAATACAAATCTCTCCAGAAAAGCGCGTTTCCACATCTTTCACGTTCTAAAAAAAATCAAAATTACACATTAATTTTTAAAAAAATTTAAAAAAATGTATTTGAATTTTAAAATTTTAAATCAGTTTTATTTACTATACTTTTGTAACAATTGACAACATTTAAAAAGAAAAATATTTTTTTATTTATTTCTAATTTGATATTTTAAAATTTAAGAAGTATTTTTTTGAGATTTTTTAAAAATCAATTTGACAAGAACATCCTGTCAGTTCTCTAATTCAACCTCTTAATTTTTTTCCCTCAAAAGAGGTACCAGCAACTTGCAAAAAATGTTTTAAAATTAAAAGTGAATAAGACATGTTGATTTTAAT